ATGTGTTTCTACAGCCACTGTGCAGGTTTCTCTTTGTGAGGTTTGGTTAGCAGTGACTGAAACGCAGCTTTACACAACTGCCAGTCTGCATGGAGAGGATCTTGAGACTCCAGTAGCTTCAAACACCTGTTTGCTGCTCAGCAGTGGCTTTTTTACAGCTGGCATTACAATACAGTTCATTTGTTTGACAGAAACTTTCCTTGATAAATCTTTATCGGACAAAGATCTTCTGTGTTCTAAGTCACTCACAAGTCTTTTGACAGTTCAATAATTTCTATTTGCTTTTTGCAAAATATTGTTTGTTTTGATGCCTTTTGCAAGACATTGCATTGTTTCATACTTTTCATCTTCAGAAAGATCTTTCTTCCTTACCATATTGCATGAGAACTGTGACTTGCTTAATGTGGAACAACCTCTTTAAAGGGGTCATATGATGTTGCAATGTACATTATGTTGTGTATTTGGTGTAATGCAATGTGTTTATGCGGTTTAAGGTTAAAAAAAAAACATTATTTCCCACATAATGTACATTATTGTTGCTCCTCTATGCCCCGCCTTTCTGAAACTCGTCGATTTTTACAAAGCTCATCGTTCTGAAAAGCGAGGTGTGCTGTGATTGGCCGAATACCTCAAGCGTGTGACAGAAATGTTACGCCCCATACCATATTGTGATGCCCTGTGTCCCGGCGTTCCATTTACCTAAGAAGACCTGGCAAACTATTGAACAAACCTGTCTGAGATTGATACCTAAAATATATCTAAAAAGATGTGAAAAACAACACAAACAAAAATCTTACTCTTTATTGTACTGAAATCCTATTGATATGTCACTTGCATAATAATTTGGAACACAGTGTAAATATATTGTGTTATATTATGAATAATATTATATTAATATATATTAATATCCCTCAAAATTGATATCTATCTATCTATCTAGATTGAATATGTGACCCCTGTATGTTTGTAGAAATGGCCAGCAATACATTGTATGGGTCAAACTCATCGATTTTTCTTTTATGCCAAAAATCATTAGGATATTAAGTAAAGATCATGTTCCATGAAGATATTTTGTAAATTTTCTACTGTAAATATAGCAAAACTTAATTTGTGATTAGTAATATGCATGGCTAAGGACTTCATTTGGACTACTTTAAAGGTGATTTACTCAATATTTAGATTTTTTTTGCACCCTCAGATTCCAGATTTTCAAGTAGTTATATCTCATATATATTGTCCTATATTTGTCCTAACAAACCATACATCAATGGGAAGCTTATTTATTCAGAAGATGTATAAATCTCCATTTCAAAAAATTGACCCTTAGGCCTGGCTTTGTGGTCCAGGGTCTCATATGTAAATGATTATATACATACTTGTATGTGTGTGTACAAATTTATTTAAAATATTTTTTTTTATTTTTATTTTATTTTATTTTATTTTTTTTAAATATGTATTGTATGGTTTTTAGCTGATGACACGTTTGCTATGCGCAGCGCTCTTGTCGCGCTCTTCCTGACGTAAGAGCGCTAAAAGTTTAACACGGACTAGTATTTAATATGGATGGCCTATTTCATGTTTGTAAGAAATATATGCTCTTTCTTTGTCGTTTGTGCGGTTTATTTAAAAAGAAGCAATAGGAACGATATTATATTTCACTCAAATATCCCGAAATGGCATTCAAACGGCATCCTTTCTCTTTATATATGTAACTTTATAGAGTAGTAGACTATCCATGTGCGCTAAAGGTCTGCGCTGAGGCCGCGGTGCGCTATTACTCATTGTCAAGTGCGCATGCGCAATGCGAGCACGACTAACTTGAAGTGCTAACACCGACTACACGGCACCGCAACGAGGAGGTTACAGCCATACAGACATAATGGGGAAGAAACAGAAAAGTAAGGGAGATGACGGGTAAGTTAGGACACTGGGGAATGCGCAACACGGACTGTGTTAACAGCAGAAAGACCGTGCTGTTTATAATCTTGACCGGTTAATATGTGAGGAGACACACTGTTAGCCACCTGGCTAGCTTCTGATGGACATGAGTTCATGTGCCGCTGTAACTAGGCCTGTCTTCCTCATTACGATACTACTGACCGTTTAACCAGAGCAATATCATCAGGGGATCACTGACATGCAAAGATGCACGTCTAGACACCAGCTGGCTGGGTAATTTATTGTGAGCGTTGCGTATTTGTCACGTTGGTGGCTTTAAAATGAGAAACAGCAGGTCTTGCTAGTCCCCCTGAGTCTAGATCCAGCAGCTGTGTTAGTGTTAGATTAGTTGTACGTCACATCTGCTCTGATATCAGACGCTGTCCGAACACAGAAGACCCTGGTTTTTAAGGGCAGTGGCTTTTGTGTATTACACGCGGTATCTGATTTCTCGCCTGGCAGTGCAACCTCATCCGTTTCCATTGTGCTGCTCGGCGCATTGTCTTCAGTGAAACGCTCTTCTGTGGGATGCCATCGACCTTTGGTCATGTAGAAACTATATGTATGTGTGTGTATGTACATATATATTATCCATATATAAATACTTTCTTTTGGCAAGAGTAAAACTTGGCATAGTGATTTTGGCGAATCATTTTTCCCTTGTTTTTGATCTGTTTCAGATTCGATTAAGTTATTCAATACCTAATTATAATTGTTATATAAAATCTGTACCTTGAAAGTGATTGATTGTCTGCTTTTATGTTCCAGTCGTTTAGTTAAATTTTTAACTAAACTTCTGCAAGCCTTGGTTTGTTTTTAGTTTATTAGGTTGAATTTAAGGTTTTGCTGTAATACTGGCCAATGTGGGACAGCAGCAGTTTCACCTGGACCTGTTTTCCTTTCCCTCTCTGAACTCAGTCGCTTGAATGGCTAAATTTGTCTGGGTCTGATGCTGAGCAGATTCTTGGTCTTTTGGCCTTGTGGGAGGTGGTTAAGTTGATTACCATCTTAATGAGAGTGTTAACCTGTGCTAACCCTTAAGTGCTGGTTGCCATGTCATTTCCTGTTCCAGTAATCTCAAAAGATGTCATGCGATCCAGCCATTAATTATCGAGAGTAGCATCAAAACAAGATTACCTGTTACTTAAAGACCATTGCTGCCCTTTGCATTGCGTCAAAGAACTGTGGTCTGCTAAAACATATTTTAACTTTTATTAAACATGCCTCCATCTCTTCTCCATTCATTCAAGTCATTTGCCCATCTTTCCATTAACTGGAGTTTCATCACCTGCTCTGTGTTTGGTGAGGGCAGCAGGTTTATGTGTGTGAGAGATCTGCCCCGCGATGACTGTGATTTTCCCTTTCTGATGCAACAAGCATGCAATGAGGGCTTTAGGCTCCACTATATAAGCAGCACAAGTTCACTTCCTCATCATTGCTGTGTTTGACTTGATTGGTAAGGTATTTGAGTTCAGGTGTTTAATATTATCAGTTTTTGTGTATGTATTGTTGCAAATATTGCTGTGTGCTAGAGTGGTGTTCAGGTGTGTAATATGCATCTGTGCTGTTGGTGTAATGCTGTTTTTTTTGCTAGTTTGTAATAAAAATGTATTATCTTACACCACTAGTGTATAATGGAAGTACTTTTACTGAAAATGTCACGATTAGTCAGTAATGGTCTGGACATCCTGTTGTTGTTTCTAAATCTCTGGTAACAGGTGAGTGTTTTCCTGGCCGGTTGCTTAGTTAATCATTTCTGGTGGTCTGTGTTTTCTCAGGTTAATTTTTTTACTGCTCTGCACATGTACAGGTGCATTTCAATAAATTAGAATGTCGTGGAAAAGTTAATTTATTGAGATGCACCTGTATGTTAAGTACATTTCATCAAAATTTTTTTTTTTTTGAGTACATATGTATTTGCTTTCTCAAAGCTAGGGATGCACCGATACCACCTTTTTTAGAACGAGTCCGATACCGATACTTTCATTTTTTGGTACTCGCCGATAGCGATACCTGTATTTTCACAGCATTTGTCATTTTTTACAAATATTGGGTACAGGGCAAAATAATAATAAGAATCATCATGTTAGTTGGCTTCATTTAGCAAACAGATATTTCCTTCAGTTATTTCCACACTTAATTACACCCGTTAAAATTTATTGTATAAGCGTTTGTTACTTTCACTGTTCATTTTAATGGCGCATTAGAGCTGCTCCATTGCAGCAGCTCAATACTGTAATCATAAAACTTTTTCCTAAAATAATGCAGGGAACCACTCGTTATACATTATACAAGTACGCGCGTACTATTTTGGAGACGTAATTTGCGTCCATGCGCACTGTATGCAGACCCTCGTGTATGAATAAAAAACATAATTTTAAAGCAAGCTAACCATGCGCAACGCGCACACGTTTGCAAGTCCGATACCGATACTTTCATTTTTGGTACTCGCCGATACCTGGATTTTCACAGCATTTGTAATTTTTTTAAACAGAAACAAAATAATAGTAATAATAATAATATGAATCATGTTAGTTGGCTTCATTTAGCAAACAGATATTTCCTTCAGTTATTTCCACACTTAATTACACCCGTTAAAATTTATTGTATAAGCGTTTGTTACTTTCACTGTTCATTTTAATGGCGCATTAGAGCTGCTCCATTGCAGCAGCTCAATACTGTAATCATAAAACTTTTTCCTAAAATAATGCAGGGAACCACTCGTTATACATTATACAAGTACGCGCGTACTATTTTGGAGACGTAATTTGCGTCCATGCGCACTGTATGCAGACCCTCGTGTATGAATAAAAAACATAATTTTAAAGCAAGCTAACCATGCGCAACGCGCACACGTTTGCACAGTGTAGTGATTGCAATATGGCAAATACGTTTTTAAAAAAGTTCAGTAGTGAAAAATGTAATGTATTCTTTTCTGCTTTTCATAGTGCCAAAGACGACGGAGTTGACATCGACGCGCTTGCAGCTGAAATTGAAGGAGCAGGAGCAGGCAAGGAGCAGAGCAAATCAAAGAGCAAGAAAAAGAAAGGAAAGAAAGATGACTTTGAGTAGGTCTTCACCTCTTTCCTCCAACACTGACACAGTTCATAAGCTTAAAAGAGATTTTCTCTTTCTATACAGTGCTGCTCAAAAATCGGGTCGGTAAGATTGAAAAAAAAATTTTTTAAAGATTTTTTGAAAGAAGTCTCTTATGCTCATCAAAGCTGCAATTATTTGATCAAAAATACAGGAAAAAAACTGTAATATTGTTACTACTCAAAATAACTATTTTTAATATACTGTAATATATTTTAAAATGTAATTTATCTCTGTGATTCAAAGCTGAATTTTTAGCATCATTACTCCAGTCTCCAGTGTCACATGATCCTACAAGAAACATTTAAGTATGCTGATTTGCTACTCAAGACACATTTCTTTATTATTATTATTGTTATTATTATTATTATTTTTATTTTTATTATTATCAATGTTTTAAGCAGTTGTTGCATTTATCCCATCCAAAGTGCACACACACAGCAGTGAACACACACACACCGTGAACACACACCCGGAGCAGTGGGCAGCCATTTTTTGCTGCGGCGCCCGGGAGTAGTTGGGGGTTCGGTGCCTTGCTCAAGGGCACCTCAGTCGTGGTATTGAAGGTGTCAATATTATTATTTTTAATCTTTTTTTTAATTTTTAAGATTTTTAAATAAGATTTTTAATCTTTATTATTATTTTTTATTATTATCAATGTTTTAAGCAGTTGTGCTGCTTTAGCTATATTTTTGTGGAAACTGACACATTTTTCTCAGGATTCTTTAATGAATAAAAGGTCCAAAAGGACAGCCTTTTTATAGAGTTTTTTGTAACATTATAACTGTGTTCACTGTCACTTTTAAGTAGTTTAATTAGTGCTGTCAAACGATTAATCGCATCCAAAATAAAAGTTTTTGTTTACATAATATATGCGTGTGTACTGTGTATATTTATTGGATGCGATTAATTGCGATTAATCGTTTGACAGCACCACGTTTAATACATCCTTGTGGGCTAAAACTATTGATTAGTGCTGTCAAACGATTAATCGCATCCAAAATAAGTTTTTGTTTGCATAATATATGTGTGTATACTGTGTATGTTTATTAAGTATATATAAATACACAAACATACAGTATATACTTCGAAAATATGTACATGTATTTACATGTCTATATTTATATTCATATAATTTATATTATAAATAAATCTATTTAATATATAAAAAATAACATATTTTTCTGAAATATATACATGCATGTGTGTGTATTTATATATACATAATAAATATACACAGTGCACACATATATATTATGTAAACAAAAACTTTTATGTTGGATGCGATTAATCGCGATTAATCGTTTGGCAGCACTACTATTGATTAATTAAATTAATCTTACTGACCCTAAACTTTTGAACATGAATGTAAGTGTTTGGGAATTAATGATGAACTCTTTTACTTGCAGTGAGGATGACATCCAGAAAGAACTGGAGACACTGTCATTAGAAAACCAAGGAGGAAAATCTAAAGAAGAGGAAAAGGTATTCTTCATTAACACAAACTGATAATCACATTCAGCATGCATTGTCTTTTGTTTTGCTCTCTCTTCTGATAGTGCAGATTTTACAAGCTGAGTCATGTGCCATTGACAGCAATTTCTCCATGTGTTTCTGTCTTAGAAATCCGATTCAGCAGTGGACGCTGAACCTGAGCCCGCTCTGAGTAAAGCGTACAAGAAGAAGGCCAAGAAGGGTAAAAAGGCAAATCTGGAGGATGAGGAAGGTGATGAAGATCAGGGTCAGAACAACATGGAAAACGAGCGCAGGGCGAAAGACACCGAGACGGTGGCGGCTCCCGCTCCTGCTGGTGCTGCTTCAGACTCTGAGGATGAGGGCTCGCGGTCACGGCAGAAACCTACGGCTAAAAAGAAAGGTGGCCGAAAGGGTTCGGCTGACTCGGAGGACGATGAAGATGGTGGTGCGAAGAAGGGTGGAGGAGCGGGTGACAATGATGAATCAGACGATGATTCTCAAGCCGCACGCAAGAAGAAAAGTAAAGCCAAACCAGACCTGTGGTTGTCAAGGATGGTTAAAGACATCCTAACATTTTCATGGCTTATATTAGAAACTTCAGAAGTGGCATCACCCACATCAGAGACACCTCAGCCAATCACAACAGAGATGGAAGTGGACAAACCTGAAGCAGAGCAAGGTAATTACTTTAATTTCTCAAATTTAGGTTCCTTTCAAATGCGTTTTATTTTTTTCTGGCTTTCCATGTTAACATCGTAATTACAATTGAGCCATTAGGAAACTTTAGTCATTAGTTTGTCATATACAATGCTGCACAACAAAAATTTATGTGTAAATACATATTAAAAATAAGTGTTGCTTATTTTTATTGCTATTACTATTGCTACTACTTATAAAAGTTCATTTACTGTACAATAGTAATATTTCTATCATAATTTCAAGATTTATTTTGGCGATCTGTTGTAATTTTTGACATGCTGATTTGCGGTTTAATTACTAATGTCAATTTGAATTTGATTCATTTTAATCTTAGCTCTACTTTTGATTTATTAATCCAAAAATTATCCTATTCTGTGACATTGCACACAATACACTAAATTCCATTTTAATTCCTGAATTCCACAATTCTGGCCACGTTTTCTGCATCACCTAAATAATAGGGCCCTACAAATTGAATGGCTTATTGTCAAAAAAAGTAAATAAGTGAAAATACTTTTATAGACTTGTAAAGCTAATCATGGATAAGGATTTGTCTGTTCATGATTTGTGGCTGTAAACAAGGATAATAGCTGACATTTTCATTGCAACAGTTAAGGAGCCAAAAGCGGAGGCTGCTGATCTGGACGATTGGGAGGCCATGGCTAGCGATGAGGAGAAAAGTGGGTGTAAAGCATGCTTTCCCACGGATACATGTCTTTTAAAATCAAGAAGTCATTTGGTGGTGGTTTGTTGTGAGTGCTGATTAATTTGACATTTGTGTGTTCACAGAGATGAAGAAGGTTCACATCGAGGTGAAGGGAACTACTCCGGCAACACAAGAACCTGCTGAAGACCAAGAGAACGGCAGTGAGGAAGAAGAGGATGATTTTTAAAATGTTGAAGCAATGTTTGAAAAGTTATTTTAAATTGTAATATTTCAGAATATTACTGGTTTACTGTATTTTTGATCAAATAAATGCAGCCTTGGTTAAGCATAAGAGACTTATTGAAAAAATCTTACCAATTGCAAAAATTGCTAATTGTTATTAATGGTTATTTATTTGTTTTTATATGGAAATTAATATTAAATGTTAATTTGCTGTTATAAAGTTTTTAAAATGTGTCGATACTGTAGAAAACCCATATCAGTCAAGCACTAAGCCATGGCTTTTTAAGCTTGTTTGTATGTTTAATGGCACTCTTCTCCACCCTTCAGTAATCTGAGGAACAGGGGTAGTTCTCTGTGTGACATCTCCATCCTGGTGGTGGATATCATGCACGGTTTAGAGCCACAGACGATCGAATCCATCAACCTGCTGAAGGAGAAGAAATGCCCCTTCGTAGTAGCACTTAACAAGGTACCAGATACTGACTACCGAATGCTCATACTGATGATTGCAGCAAGTATTTAAATACTAATGTGTTTCTTTCTCAGATTGACCGTCTGTACGACTGGAAGAAGAGTCCAGACACAGACGTGGTGGCCACACTGAAGAAGCAGAAGAAAAACACCAAGGATGAGTTAGATGAGAGGGCTAAAGCTGTCATCGTGGAGTTTGCGCAGCAGGTCTGTTGTCATCGTCTTGTACAGTACAGTACAGTCCCATTTGCTGTTGAGCTGCAAATGTCTCCTGTTGAGTTTTACATACAAGTGCTGTCTTGTTCAACCTTCAGGGACTTAACGCTGCCCTGTTCTACGAGAACAAAGACCCTCGTACATTTGTGTCCCTGGTTCCCACCTCGGCCCACTCGGGTGATGGGATAGGGAACCTCATCGCCCTGCTGGTGGAGCTCACTCAGACCATGCTGGCCCGCCGCCTGGCTCATTGTGATGAACTTCGAGCACAGGTCATGGAGGTAAAATGAGTTCCTGCTAACAAATCGTGACAGTCTGGTTTGGTATGTTTAATCACAATAGTTTGCTTTTTTTCTTCCCATGGAGCCCAACTGTAATATAACCTCTGCTGTCCATCTTCTATATCTTAGGTAAAAGCTCTTCCTGGAATGGGTACGACGATAGACGTCATCCTGATCAACGGTTGTCTACGGGAGGGTGAGACTATTATCGTCCCCGGTGT